TGACATATTTTCAGAGACTTGGGTGGTACTCAAGGGAAAAGAACCTCCCAATCAAAATCTCATTCAAGACAGAAATGGTACAAAACAAGATCCTGCAGTGGAAACCATGGTTAAAAGGTTTCTAAAAATACCAGCAAGTGCAACTCGACAGCAACAGAACACAAGAGGAAAGGGAACAATTGAGAGAAAGAGTATGAAGGCACCAGAGGCACGAAGGGGAGACAGGACCGGTGCCGACAGACAGGGAAGTGCAGCCTTGTGTGGAACAACACAACCACCCACAGCATCCCCTCAACCCCTACCACCCCACACCAAGCAAACACAATAACCAAGACAAAACCACACTAATGCCACCACAGCACTAATACCACCACAACAGCAGCTAGCCATAATATCCAGACCTGCCTACCAAATCCTAAGCCTACACCAACCCCTCCAGCTCCTAGAATAAACAGTTCTAGAAAGGAAGTTGAAGGTATGGTACACCAAAAGAGATGGAATAACAAATCAGTGAGAAGTGGCAGGAAAGAATCACTGATGCATCCTCAGACATCACAGCACTCAGAGACAAAGCTCAAGAGGATGATAACAGATGCAATTTTCCCATCTGGCTATCAGATCTTAAGGACAGACAGGGTAAACAGTGAGGAAGGAAGAGTTATACTGCTCATCAAAAAACCAATGGAGTTTTGAGGAAATGGGAAGACTAGTCAGAGGTGAAGCAGATGACTACATAGTAGGAACACTTCAAACTGGGGGTCCAAAAGTGATGATATCAGTGATGTATAGTCTGCCACCGAACAGTGTGAAACCAAGAATATGATGAAAGCAACAGAGTGATGGTGGATACACTAACCAAGGTGGCCAGAAGGGCCCACATAAGCAAGGCCAAGTTACTCATCACAGGGGATTTCAACCATAAGGAGACTGGGAAAATCTGGAGGCAAATGGGGGATCAGAGATGAGGAGACAATGAACCAGCAAGGATATCACACATGAAAGGCCCCTAGGTGCTAACAATCATATGGACCTGAGTCTCAAATACCTATAGAGTTAACATGGAGTGTGAAATAGTATGAGAAGGACGGGAGAAGTCAGACTTCAAAAAAGGGGCCTGCATAGGTCTGAGGCAATTCCTACATGAGGTGCAGTGGGTAAGAGAGCTTGAGGGGAAGACAGTCAACGAACTGATGGAACACATGATCACAACGTGCAGGGAGGCAGAGAAGAAATTCATGCCAAGGGGCAAAAGAAACAATGAAAAGACCAGAGAGAGCCCATGGTCTACCTGGAGGTGTGAAGAGGCCAAAACCCTGTGTGCTAGAGTACGGAAAAAGTACAGAAGGCAAAGGGCTCAGGAAAACAGGGAATTGAGCAGAACAGCCAGAAATGAATATGCATGGATAAGGAGAGAGGCCCAGCATCGATACGAGAATGATGAAACATCAAAAGCCAAATCTGACCCAAAATTGCTGTATAGCCACATCAGGAGGAAAAGAACAGTCAAGGACCAGGTAATCAGATTGAGGGAGGAAGGAGGGGAGCTCACAAGGAGTGGCCAGGAAGTATGTAAGCAGCTCAGCTCACAATTCAGGGAGGTATTCAGCGGAGACAGAGACTTCCAGCCAACCAAGGTGGTAGGGTGCACCAGCAAGTGCTGGACACACTGCATACAACCAAGGAGGAGAAGAAAATGCTAGGTGAACTAGATACCTCAAAAGGTGGTGGGCCCATATAATATCTCTCCTTTGGTCCTGAGAGAGGCAGCAGTTGCACTGTGTGTGAAGCTAATAAGGAGAGTACAAGAGGACTAGGATCATATATGCCTACAAGGGAATCTGGTCCGACAAATGGCTCCTAGAGTTTAACCTCATAAAGTGCAAAGTTATGAAGCTTGGGGAAGGACAGAGAAGACCACAGATGAAGTACAGCCTAAGAGGTCAAAGGCTGCAAAACTCAATGAAAAGGATCTTGGGGTGAGCATCATACTGAGGTGCACATCAACCGAATAACTGCTGCAGCATATGGGTGCCTAGCAAACCTGAGAACAGCATTTCGACATCTAAATAAGAAGTCATTCAAGACACTGTACACTGTGTACATCAGGCCCATACTGAAATATGAAGCACTAGTATGGAACCCACAGGTGGTCAAACATGTCAAGAAATTAGAGAAAGTGCAAAGGTTTGCAACAAGACTAGTCCTGGAGCTGAGGGGTATGTCCTACAAGGAGAGGTTAAGAGAACTCACCCTGATGACAATAGAGCACAGGAAGGATGGGGGGACATGAAAATGACATACAAAATACCTGGAGTTTACCTGGAGAGAGTTTCGGGGGTCAACGCCCCCGCAGCCCGGTCTGTGACCAGGCCTCCTGGTGGATCAGCGCCTGATCAACCAGGCTGTTGCTGCTGGCTGCACGCAAACCAACGTACGAGCCACAGCCCGGCTGATCAGGAACTGACTTTAGGTGCTTGTCCAGTGCCAGCTTGAAGACTGCCAGGGGTCTGTTGGTAATCCCCCTTATGTGTGCTGGGAGGCAGTTGAACAGTCTCGGGCCCCTGACACTTATTGTAGGTCTCTTAAGTGCTAGTGACACCCGCTATTTCATTGGGGGATGGGCATCGTCTGCACAAGTCTTTTGCTTTCGTAGTTGAGGATTTTGTGTGCAAGTTCGTACTAGTCCCTCTAGGATTTCAACTCCTGATATAATCATGTATCTCTCCCTCCTGCGTTCCAGGGAATACAGGTTTAGAAACTCAAGCGTCCCAGTAATGAGGTGTTTTATCTCCGTTTGCGCGCCGTTGAAAGTTCTCTGTACATTTTCTAGGTCGGCAATTTCACCTGCCTTGAAAGGTGCTGTTGCAGTCAGCAGCATATTCCAGCCTAAATTTGAACAAGTGACCTAGAGTGTCATTCATGGGCTTGGCCTCCCTAGTTTTGAAGGTTCTCATTATCCATCCTGTCATTTTTCTAGCAGATGCGATTGATACAATGTTATGGTCCTTGAAGGTGAGATCCTCCGACATAATCACTCCCAGGTCTTTGACGTTGGTGTTTCGCTCTATTTTGTGGCCAGAATTTGTTTTGTACTCTGATGAAGATTTAATTTCCTCATGTTTACCATATCTGAGTAATTGAAAATTTCTCATCGTTGAACTTCATATTGTTTTCTGCAGCCCACTGAAAGATTTGGGTTGATGTCCGCCTGGAGCCTTGCAGTGTCTGCAATGGAGACACTGTCATGCAGATTCGGGTGTCATCTGCAAAGGAAGACATGGTGCTGTGGCTGCACATCCTTGTCTATGTCGGATATGAGGATGAGGAACAAGATGGGAGTAGTACTGTGCCTTGTGGAACAGAGCTTTTCACCGTAGCTGCCTCGGACTTTACTCTGTTGACGACTACTCTCTGTGTTCTGTTAGTGAGGAAATTATAGATCCATCGACCGACTTTTCCTGTTATTCCTTTAGCGCGCATTTTGTGCGCTATTACGCCATGGTCACACTTGTCGAAGGCTTTTGCAAAGTCTGTATATATTACATCTGCATTCTTTTTGTCTTCTAGTGCATTTAGGACCTTGTCGTAGTGATCCAGTAGTTGAGACAGACAGGAGCGACCTGTTCTAAACCCATGTTGCCCTGGGTTGTGTAACTGATGGGTTTCTAGATGGGTGGTGATCTTGCTTCTTAGGACCCTTTCAAAGATTTTTATGATATGGGATGTTAGTGCTATTGGT